ACAGTCTCCACTTGTATCAGTTCTTTCAAGCACAATTTCAAACATTAAAGATAAAATTTCAGTTACTTTTCCTCTTTTTTCTTAAACGCAGAAAGGGACAATGGAAACAGTATCTTACTCTTGTTTAGCTAGCTGTCAAATCCTTTCTGTCAAAAGCACTCTCTCCAAACGTCATCTGGCAGCCCGTTCCCAGGTTCAGAGCAGTGGTAATTTGATTTTTTCACTCTCTCCTGCAGGCTCACTAGATCCAAAAATTTCCCCCTCTTCTCCTGCTTCCAAGGGGGGTTTTGTATTTTTAAACTGGTGAAAATTTAATCCTTTGCCAAAAGCTTTCAAAGGCTTTACTTGTAACGTCTTTGCTTCAGTCTATTTACAAAAACGGGAGGCGGACTTCCTGTTTATAACCTTCCCGTTTCAGTGCCAAATTGAAGTATTTAAGAATCCAATTTTCCATTTTACTCACAAGTAGTTGTTTAAAATCCAATTGTCCACAGGAAAAGTCAGCGCTCTCCGGCAACAGCAATGCGGCTTCACTCCGTGAAAGAAGCAGTCGATTCAAAGCACCGCGCCACTCACCCCACGTCGCTCCGGATCCCCAAAACAGGGTTTCCCCGCGAGTAGGGGAGGCGCAAAGGTGCCAGCCGAATCCCACGTCCACAGGCTTCTCCTGCCTGTGGTTTTTAATGGGTCTCCGCCTCGCCGTGGCGCTGACTACTCACTTTGGTTCTATCTATAACACATGCACAACCAAAGTTATTGAACATCTTGTAGGGATTACATAGTCATCAAGGGCATATCCTGTTGTGGATGACATGCCCTGTTGTCTTGGAAGAATGTATATGAACAGCCTTATGATTTGCCACCTTCTAGAATCATTATAGGACTGTAGAGATAATTTGCTTGCATATGTATGCTCTTCGATTAAGGGTGCAGGGCAATGCTGATGCTTTTTGTGCTTTGCCAAAAACAAACAAACCCCCAGCTTCTGAAAATGAGAGCCTGAATGTGTAGGTTTAAAAATATTTAAGAATTCTGACTGTGCACATAGACTTCTTTTTTTTGAAAGACAATGCCAAATGCTGTGATATCAAAGATGTGCCTGCAACATCAGGGGCGTGGCCAGCAGCCATGGTTCCACTTCTACATCCACGCATTTGGTATATATGTGAAGGCAAACATATGTGTGGCCTTCATGTCAATGACCATCAATGATGTTTAGATGTCCTACATTCAGAATTGGGTGTATTTTTATTTCTGATGACTTAGTGTTTGGTGGGGAGCACCTGAGTTTAAGGTATAGTTACACAATGAAGGGGACGCGGGTGGTGCTGTGGGTTAAACCACAGAGCCTAGGATTTGCTGATCAGAAGGTTGGTGGTTTGAATCTCCGCGATGGGGTGAGCTCCTGTTGCTTGGTCCCTGCTCCTGCCAACCTAGCAGTTTGAAAGCACATCAAAGTGCAAGTAGCTAAATAGGTACTGCTCTGGCGGGAAAGTAAATGGCGTTTCCGTACACTGCTCTGGTTCACCAGAAGTGGCTTAGTCATGCTGGCCACATGACCCGGAAGCTGTACGCCGGCTCCCTCGGCCACTAAAGCGAGATGAGCGCCACAACCCCAGAGTCGTCTGCAACTGGACCTAATGGTCAGGGGTCCCTTTACCTTTACACAATGAAGAGGCACCATGTGCCCTAATAATTGGGCACTATGAATAGGAGTTTCTTGTCCCACCTCCATACATATATTTGTTATGAGTTTGTGGGTGCTAGACCACTATAATCTTCAGAGCAAGCTAGTGTTAGAATTAATTAAAGCATGAGGTATTAAAACTGGGTGTGTATTTAGAAGTGTGCTAGACACTTCTAAATCCTGTAATTAGCAAGTGTTAATGCTAATTAAGCTAGGCTAGCACTGATTGTTGAGGTGATAGCCTGGAAGAGGGTCCATTAAGATCAAAGGAACTTGGTGCGAGACAGCAAATGTTTGGTGCCTGACGCTCAATAGATAAAGCCACAGCTTAAGTGACAGAGGTTAGAGTTAAGAGTTTTGTGACTGCAGACACTGCAAGTGTTCCTATTTTCCAGGGATAGTTCCAGATTTACAGAAGCCATTCCAGTTTCTTATTTGATCCCAGAATGTCCTGCTTTTCCTTAAAGCTAAAGCTAAAGGGACCCCTGACCGTTAGGTCCAGTCACGGACGATTCTGGGGTTGCGGCGCTCATCTCGCTTTACTGGCCAAGGGTACAGCTTCCGGGTCATGTGGCCAGCATGACCAAGCCACTTCTGGCTAACCAGAGCAGCGCACGGAAACACTGTTTACCTTCCCGCCGGAGGGGTACCTATTTATCTACTTGCACTTTGACATGCTTTCAAATTGCTAGGTTGGCAGGAGCAGGGACCGAGCAACGGGAGCTCACCCTGAGGTGCGGATTTGAACCACCGACCTTCTGATTGGCAAGCCCTAGGCTTTGTGGTTTAGACCACAGCGCCACCTGCCAGCCCTCTGCTTTTCCTTAGGAAGTCCCTAATTTATCAGACAAATGTTGGAGGATATATGGCTGGAAGAAGCACGATGTCTGATGTCTGTTTGAATCCAGGACTTTGGCTATGGGAAAATCAAGGCCCACTAGGGATGTTACTGTTGTGAGCCCCTCCATCATAGCTTCAGGTTGTATATATGTGTAAATAAACCATGCATCATAAAGACACCACAGTCTCCACTGTGCTTCATTCCCAAAAGGAAACATGAACCCTGAGTAAGCATGTCTGAAACGCCCTTGAAATATTGTACCACACAGATATTGGGGGTGGCGTGCAGCAAACATTTGAGCTAATACTACCACACACACAGTAACATAGGGACCAGAAAAAACAATAACTGTAGTAACTTCTATGCAATAATAGCAGAATAAAACTTTTCTAAAACAGCAATTATTTTTTTAATCAATAAATCCTAATGGTTTCATTCAACAGTACTACCTTCCTGACCAAGTGTGTTATTGAAGTAGGCATTCTTATATTTGGCTGTCTGTGTTATTTTCTTGTAGAAGCTTGGAGGAATCCTATTACTTCCATTTATATATGTTTGATCTGAAGAAAGGAAGGAAATGTGACTTCTAATACCATCAGAATAAATCTGTAGTCCAATATTACAACGCTTAAAAATATATTCTCCCCCCTTTTTTAAAAAATGAATTCAAATACATTGGGAAGGAGATGGTGCTGGTGTGTTGTGTGTGTGTGTGTGTGTGTGTGTGTGTGTGTGTGTGTGCTTGGAAAGCGACACTTGTCCAGACATTAAGCAAATGTCACCCAGGTGTATTTCATGTGATAAAAGCCGCACACTTGATAGATGCTGTGAGACTGCAAGAAAAGAAGGAAGAAAGATTAAACAAACCTGCAGCTGCCACTAAGATGAGTTTCCAGCTGATTTTATGAGTCACAGGACATAGTCACTTAGGACTATTTGTATTTGCGTACTATTGCTCAAAGTGCTGGCTGGCTTCCTCTAGCTGGCATTATGAGCTTTAAGTTAGTCCCTTGAGGTTGTGCGGTAAGAAGGTGAATTTATACCTACCTAACTTTTCAAAGAACAGCCGTTTGCTTCTCCCCCTCAAAGCAGTAAAGCGTCTCACTTCTGTACTGTTAAACGCAATGACTTCCGGGAGGATAAAACTGCTCCTGTTCTTCGTTTTGCCCTAAGTGGAGAAGAAAACTGGGGGGGGGGTCTGAAATAGTGGCTACTGCATATTCATGAGAGCTGCCAGAGTTTAATCCAGAGATGCTGGACTGTTCCTTGAAAGTTTCAAGAAGCAAGGAAGGGTAGTGGCATCACTTGCTGCACCACTTCTTCAGTCTTCTTGCCCTGCCTCCAACAGCAGAAATTAAGATTCAGGGATATAATGATGGTGGAGAGCCAGACCTGCCCTTAGAATAAAAGGCAGCTGTCTTAATAAATGGATGCTGGAAGGTGAGGTACAGTGCTGAGTATTGAAGAACTATGGGTAATCATTATTTCGACCCCAGATCCACTAAAGGAGCATATTGACCACAGGAGTGGTGGAGGGGACCACCACCATTGAAGCCAAATTCACTTGCTAGTCTGATTAAAATAAAAATAATAAATAAATAAGTGTATGGGCAATCTATCCAGAAGATATTTGTATTTCGAGGACATATAGTGATCTGACATGGTTATCTTTCCTGCCCCCTGTTCCTTCTTTCCCCCTAACTTTTGTTAAGCTCTTTGATAGCTGAGAAGAGCCTTTAACAGGGGTCAGCAAACTTTTCCAGCAAGGGGCAGGTCCACTGTCCCTCAATCCTTGGGGGGGGGGGCAAATTATATTTCGAAGGGGAAAAATGAACAAATTCCTATGCCCCACAAATAACCCAGAGATGCATTTTAAATAAAAGCACACATTCTATTCAGGTAAAAACACCAGGCAGGCCCCACAAATAACCCAGAGATGCATTTTAAATAAAATGACACATTCTACTCATGTAAAAACATGCTGATTCCCGGACTGTCCTCGGGCCGGATTTAGAAGGCGACTGGGCTGGATCCGGCCCCCGGGCCTTAGTTTGAGTACCCATGGCCTTTAATGTCCCAATCTGTTGGAAGGAAGCGATAGTGATGAGTACCTTCTTTGATGTTGGACATTGTTTGGAGAAAGTGAGGCATTGGGAGAGGGTGGATAATGAATAATCTGCACGTAGCTAGTGATCTGCAAGCCACACAGGTTAGCTATCTATAAATCGGATGTTTGTGGGCAGAGTGTTAGAGAGAAGCTGATGCACGGACTGATGGCTGTGGGGCCGGGCAACCTTAGGTTACCTGGAGAGTCACTTCACCACTTCTTGAGGGCTTCCAAGTGGCAGATTGAGGTGCTTGCTTGGTATGTATATAATGCTTGCTGTTTAGAATAAAATCTCACTCACTTGTGTTTTGTATTACTTCTGAATCTCATTTTAAAAGAACCACCTTGCATTTGGCAATACGATAAGGCGAATAGCTCAGTCGGTAGATCATGAGGCCCTTAATCTCAGGGCCATGGATTCGATCACCACGTTGCACAAAAGATTCTTGCATTGCAGGGGCTATATGACCCTCGCAGTCCCTTCCAACACTACAGTTCTATGATTCTATGAAATGTATGTTTGTTATGACAGTTTCAGTCAGCAAATAGTGTTATGTGCAATGAATACAAGGTGAAATTGAAGATGATGCCTTTTTACATCCCTCACTGCAAGGCAAGAGCTCACTTTCCCGTCCCACAGGGTATTTAAAATCACAGCAAGAGAAAATGCCTGGCTTTTTTTCATTCTAGGAAAATATCAGGGGAATGATCACGAACACCTATGCACCTATTCATTCCCCCCTGAGGATGGCCATTTTAGAAACAATGCATTTTTTGAAGAATTTGCTTGCTTTCTTTAAATCATGATTTGGCAGGTATAAATAAATTGTAGAATAGTGATAAAAGATATATCAATCGGATTTCAGCCTGGGATAGTGGCAACTTTATATTTCCAAATTTGGCTGTTTCACTGGGAGTTAAAACTATGGCACTCACTAGAACAAAATGCAGTGGTAGTCATAAATTTAGATGACTTTAGAAGGGGATTAGAGAAATTCATGAAGGAAATAACTTTAAATGGCTATTAGCCATGTTGTCTATACAGTACCTCCAGCATGCCTCTGAATAATAGTTGCTGAGGCACACCAGTGGAAAAGGGTTCTCACACTCTGGTCTGGGTTGTGAGCTTCCCATGGGCATCTGGTTGGTCACTGTGCAAAATGGAATTCTGGCCTAAAAAGGCTTTGGTCTGATCTAGGAAGGATCTTCTTAGATCTATGATTTCAGTCTGCAGCATTCTTCAACTTTTTACGCTGTTCTTCTCAACTTGCAATTGCATCTGCAATACTATTGCAAAAATAGAAAGAGCAAACATGTGGCAAATTTGGATTGCAAATACTATCTTGTGTTGTTAATTAGGGAACAATGGTTGCCCAGGTCGAATAATGAATATCAAAAATTAAATACAACCACTAGTTGTGTTCAAGTGCTGGAATGATACAGGGCTGATAGGTGCTCTGTTACATAACTATATGACAGTTTAAACTCCAGTAATTGAATTGGAGAGCAAGGTTTTAATGAAAGGCTATTAACACACACACACACACACACACACACACACGTTGCAATTTAATTAATTTTCTTAAGTTTGATGAAAAATACTAGATAGGGCAGAGAAGTCGTGCAATGCTTGCTTTTATCACATTTCATCACATTACAGTAATTTAATTGCATTAACCTTTACATGTTATCTTCTGTCACACTAGGAAAGAAATGAACCGATTTCATGTAGATCGCAACAACTTTTATGTTCCTCATCTGTAAAATATGGACATTATTTATTTATTTATTTATATTTCCCAAGTGTATATAACATACAATCAGAAAAAACCTCCAAGCATAAGAAAATAATATTATTGTTTATTAAATTTGTTAGTCACTTTATCTTGCCCAAGGCAAACCAAAGTTACTTACAACTAACAAACCAACTATCCAAACAAACCAGCAACCCACCACCCACATAAATACATTAAAACCAAGGGAAGGGGGCATTAAAATATCTCACCTACTTCCAAAAGGCCACAGATAGCTAAAGGCTAAAGGGCCTGGTTATCATGGAATGTTTTTATCTGGCACTTAAAGATCTATAATGATGACCCTGGGGAGAACATTCCATGGGGAGCCACCATAGAAAAGGCCCATTATTATGTTGCCACTCTCAGAACTTCTTGTGGAGGGGGAACATGAGGAAGGGTCTTAGGCTCTGAGTCAATTCTTATGGGGAGAGGCATCCCTTGAGGCATTGCGGTCCTGAGCCATTCAAGGTTTTATAGGTGCAAACAAGAACTTTGAATTGGGCCCAGAAACCAAGTGGCAGCCACTGCAGTTGGGCCAGGATTGGTGTTATATGCTCAAATTCAGGGATGCCAACTTGAATAAAATATTGTGGGGGAGGGGGAGGCATAATTGATCACATGATGTGGCACATGCACACCATTTGAATGGCAATGCTCATTAACTTTGGGGGGCAGCTCCCTCAAATATTATATGGAGGACCTCAGCCTGTAGGAGTTGGTTCCTATGCTCAAAGTGTTTTGCTGTGCTGAGCAACCTGGCTGCTGAATTCTGCATCAGCTGAAGTTTCTGAACCATCTTCAGAGGTAGGCCATGTGGTACAACAGTCGTTATCCCTGTCCAGATCAGGGCACAGCTGCGTCACTAGCCAAAGCTGATGGAAGGCACTCCACATCACTGAAGCTGCCTGAGCCTCGGACAACTGCAATGGATCTAGAAGTACCCTCAAGCTGCATTCCTGCACTTTCAGAGGGAGTGTAACCACACCAGTAGCAAGCAACTTCCTATTCATCCGATTTAGGGAACCACTCACTAACAGTGCCTCAGTATTATCTGAATTGAGCTTCAGTTTCTTGGCTATCATTTGGTCCATTACCAAAGCAAGACATCAAACCCGTACACCCACTGCCACACATGCATATGTAAGGGAGAAGTAGAACTGAGCATCATCAACATACTGTTGACAATGAATTCCAAAACTCCAGATGACCCCATTCAGCAATCTTATGTGGATACTAAACAGCATGGGGGATAAAATTAAACCCTGAAGAACCCTGCATTGTAGACTCCATGGGGCCAAACCAAACTCCCCAAGCCTTCTGAGAATGACTACTGCAAAGCAGTGCTGTCAACCCCCAGCTCAGACAGCTACTCCAGAAGGAAACTATGGTCATTGGTATTGGAAGCTGCTGAGAACTAACAACACACATTCCTCCTGCCTCCTGATGGAAGTCATCAAATAGGACAAGCAAACCAGTTTCTGTCCCAAAGCCTGTGCTAAACCCTGATGGGTCTAGAAAATGTTACCTCCAAAAGAGTTTTAACTTTCAAAACAAGTAGACAGAATAAAATTGATCTAATATGGATAAACAATGTATTTAAACCAAGTATGCCTGATAGAATTGCAGGTATTACTTCCACAAAGTTTTAAATTCTTGTCAGGTCAAAACTCAAATGTAGATTTGTACTTGTACGTGCAAGTCACCCTGGTGTATGGTTCACAGTGTGCAGTAGGCTGTGAAGCTGAGCCACCATTTTGTATCTGACTCCTCCTCCTCACAACTATTTTGTACTGGTTCTGCTTGGTGGATCTTGAGGTTCCAGTCAAAAAACTACCGGTAACTAGTTTTTCCATAATGACCACCCATATCTGCTCCATACTAGCTCAGTAATAACCTGGCCCAGCACACTTTACTATGTTCCCTTGCAGAACAACTTTCTGTATGTTGCCAAAAGAATGTGAGACTAATAAAACAGAGGGGGCTTTTTTAATGGCACTTGTACATACAACACTGTCGTTCTGTTAAAGACTGTGAAATAATGAGCCAAAGTTGTCTTGGGCACAAATTAAAAGATCAGTGTGACAATGAACAGCAGTGGATTCCGCATAGCTAGCTCATCACACCCACTGGCAGACAACCTTTGGAACCAAGTGGCACATTAATTCTCATTTGAGATGAACAGCAGCACTCAGCGTGTTTTGCAGAAGCAGCTACATGCTGGGAGATGCATTGACAAAGGCACTCAAGATGACAGGAGTGCAGAGTCCTTCTCTGGATGTAGCGTAGCCCTCAACAAATAGTGACAACAGGCTAAGGTTGACAAGATGTTGTAACATAATTATCTTAACATTAACTTAAAGACCTAGTTATGTATCCAGCCAGCTTCTGAAAGAACAAATAACCAAAGTGAAAATATGATCTGAAAGGAGACTTAGAGATAAAGGTTGGTGTAGGATAGCTAACTAAACCATGTTGTTGTAAAAATGTGAAACCCTATTATTTAAAAAAACAGACCAAGGTAGCAGTATTCTTAATTACGAGCATTTTTTTGGGAAGGTACAGATGACTGATGTAGTTTGTTCAGCAGATTACTTTTTTACACTCTTATCTTTCATCATATGTGAGGAGAGTACAAATACTCTTCTCTTCCAAGTCTGAATAAGTCAACCACATGGTGCAGATACTGTGATTTAATCGCTGCTTCTTTGGAAAGGACTATATCTTTTAAATGCAACGCATTTAACTTCTGTCACAGACATGATCCTGAGCTGATATGGATGAAGAAATGCATGGAAGAATGATGGCAGAAGAACTAGAATGTTCAGTTTGTCACCTTAGGTAAAAGTGGGCTTTTTGTTATTTCTGAATTTAAAACGGCAGCTTTTTGCAGTAGCATAATTAGTGGAAGAGAAATTGCTTTATGGATTTTTGGAATAAATTATTTAACATGCATACACCTTTGGAAATATTGATATTTTAATGTGTGCTTAAGAATATCTATTAATTTTTGTTACAAGATTAATATTGTGTACCAGTGGGGGGGGGTTAACTACTGTTCTTTTTTAAATGCTCAGAATCGGAGATATTTTATTATGACAAAATAAAAATGTACTACCATTCAAAATCAATGGCACTACTTCCAAGTGTTGACATTAAGGATTACAGCCATTAAAATAATTTGGGGAATACGTTTTTTATTGTTTTAATCAACAAAGCATGAACAAAATAACTACAGGTATCATACAGCAATATATGACTTATGCAGGACGGAATATGTAATATGATAACCACCACTGACCTACGCACCAAAGCACCCATTAAAGGCTATTTTGAAACATAGGCTTTTATATAAATCATTTAGCATTTCTTGTAACTGATTACAATTCTCAAATTACTTAGAGGAAATACTGTATTGGCCTGAATATAAGCCTCACTTTTCCCCCAAATTCCAACTGTGAAAAGTTAAAATGCGGCTTATATTCATGACCTTACGGTATGCAGCCAGGAGCGCGAGGCAAACAGCACCAGGAGCGCGGCAAAGCGGTGCCTGCCCTGTCCGTAGTCCCCCATCCTCTCACCCAAGGCCGGGAAGGGAGAGAGTAAGGAAGTGGAAAGGCCGCCGGCAACACAGTGTGGCTCCCC